ACAAATGTATTATTAACAGCTTAGTTGTTTAAGAGAGGTAAAAACACAATATCAGCAGATACTCAAGGCTGCGGTACCAGACATGAAAAGGTGGTACTGAGCCATCCCCAATAAAATTGTCTCCAGCGAGTGACTTGATTATGACAACTAAGCTATCAAGCTACATGTAGGTTGTGACTTCTATGATTCAGTTACATAAATAAATAAATACGTCAAGACAGATCATAATACGCGAGACAATCCAAAACAGGGCTGCAACTAACGATTATTTCAAATATCAATTAAAATGCCAATTATTTTGTATCTCATGTAATTGATTGTTTGGACTATGAATAGATAGTAAGCAGCAAACTCTTTCATTCCTCATAAGTGAGAAGTTGGAACAAGAGAACGTTTAAGAAAAATCAATTGTTAAGTTGCTGATTAATTCTTGACAGTAATTTAGAGAAGTTAATCAACTAATTGTTCCAGCTCTAGTCAGAAATAAAGACAAAGCAACACACCAGCCAATAAATGAGATACTGAGCGTTTGTGTGTGGTTACCTGAGTTGTGTGCGTTGTTGAGGGGACTGTCTGAGGCACTGTAGGGCCAGGCACCAGGTGAAGGCAGCAAGGTGTTGAGGGGAGGGGTGGAATCTGCAAACAAAAGGAGCAGACCAACGTCATTAGCCATTTTTCCATGAATGAATGACTAACAGTCATTCCAAAAAACAATTTTTTTAAGCAGCTGACACAGAGAAGGTTACAGGTTGCACCTGTAAATGTTTAACATTTCACCTACATGCAAAGTGAACACAAGCAAAATTATAAAAATAAGATATAAAAAAAAAAAACAAGAAATGATGCAAGAAGACAAAGCATAACATAACAAGGTAAACTAACTGCTAGATATTGTTGTACTACAGTGGTGTCATCACACACCCCATGGTATGGAAAATGAGGCAGTGGAGCTGTTAAATTCTTACCAGTATTATCTTGTAACAACTGGTGCTCAGTATCATTGAGGTTGGGGGACACCGCGTTTCCCATCATGCTTCCTGGGGTCATGTAGGGGTCAGATTCAGGGTCGACACGGTCGATTCCCTTCCACGGCACACCAGGCTGGAACTCTGAAGAGGAAACACACATGTGGTCTGTTGAAGCCAGTGTTATAAGACATCAACTGCACACACACATTTTTTTTTCCTAAATTGCTCATCTCCCGGATATGAAAACAATAATTATATCTTCTCCTTGTATCTTATTTTAAACGTTGTGGGATCCTCTAGCTCAGGTTATCACTTATCACTATAACTCACCAGGGGGCCAGCTGGGTGTGGTGGGAGGCTTGGTACCCATCTTGTTGCCAGGGGTGCGATGCCAGTTGTCTCCCAGCCCATCAACCATCATGTCGTACTGAGAGTAGGGCGAGCCCCCCGGCATCTTCATGGGGGTGACAGGACCTGGAAGGTTGCCGGAGGGTGATGATAATGGATGTTACATCACTGAACACCAGATGGGTTCATTAGTCATATTAATATGTGACTTCACATCTAATCCCATTAACACCATCTTCCACAACACCCCTTCATTTCCTGTCTTATCAAAGACAACATTTGTATGAATGAAATCACCATTTTTGTGGAATGCGTTCTCAGGTGAGGAGGTGTCTGGAGAAGAGTGTCCCTCCATCATCCATTTGAAGCGGGACTGTTGACCCCCTAAGTCTTTCATGCCCACAGGTCCCCCAACTAGGTCCAGACCTGGGGGGTTGACTCCAGAACTAAACCCTGCTCACAGGAAGAGAACAAAGGGAAACATCAAGAGGGGTAAGGATTTCTTATCTAGTTAAACCTCTGGTGCTACATAAAAAATACATGGTAATATTGGCATGAGTGAGTTTATGTTCGACAAGTTAAAAAAACCAAACAAACAAAACAATCACTCACCAGAGTATGGTCCAAGATTTTTATGGTGCAAGTCAGCCACAGATCCTGCCAGGCCTGGATGGGGCAGGGGATCAACCCCAGGCAGTTTGGGGCCCCCTCCGCCAACTCCACCATGGTGGGAGGGAGAGAGTTTGGAGCTGCCACCTAAACCCCCAACCTGCTGCTGCTGCTGCTGCCTTTGCTGTTGGAGCACCGCCATGATCCTGGCCAGCTGAGACAAGATAAATAACAAGAGTCAGCAGCTGGGAGGAGGAAGTAAAGTAAAGTGACAAAGGATTGAGTGATATGTTGTGTTGGTGTGTACCTGTTGAGGGTCAGCCTGCTGCCGCACGTTTGGTGTGAACTTCCTCTGGTTTTGCAGTAGCTGCTGCTGTTGCTGCTGTTTGTGGCTGCTGCTGCTGTTGGAGGAGGAGCTGACAAGCCTGAACGAACACAGACAAACAAAACAAAAAGAAAGAATGGAGAAGTGAGGTGGCAACAGTGAAAAAAACAGGGGGGGGGGGGGGGGACGCACTCTGCACAACGGTTTTCAAGCTTTACACTGACGACCCCATTTGACAAACTGAATGCTATGTAGACTCAGTGACATTTTTGGCTCCAATGGGAGGTAATCATCATTATCTAAATATTTGGTCAGTGAGTCAGAGCTGTAGCAAAAGTTTGTTTCATGAAAATACATTTGTGTAAGATGCTGTAAAACTTACAGTTTAAGACTTGATTGTGTGTACCAACAGTTTTAATTTTCAAAATACACATTTTTTACCTAATCGTTTGATATGATTTTAAGGATGTGTCTGGATATGTATATACACAATGTACAATCATTTGTCTATTGATTGATAAAATTCTCTTTCTTTTCTTAATATTTTGAGAAATTTCCAAACTGCCTAGGATAAAGAAATAATCACATCAGATGTTTCCAGACTCAGAAGACCTGTGATGGAACCCAACAGTGGTTTCTGAGATGTATAGTGCTGACTCTCACCAGCTGAAACTGGATGTGAGGTGGGTAGATGCTGCTCAGCATGGCAATATGCTGGGGGGACAGCTGAGGAGGGAACACACCTCCCCCCAATCCTGCCACTCCTCCCACGCCGCCAACACCCCCCACGCTCCCGCTGGGAGGGGGCATCTGCTTCAGCACAGAGCCTGGCACCTGGAGACAGACACAACGGCAGGAAGGCACACCTGTTACCACAGAAACACTTCGGTGCTGTAACCACTGGCAACCACATTAGCTTACTGCTTCTCCCCAATTAACATTGATTCTCTTAATGTTCTCATTAGCTGGTGTTAATAAGTGACTCGACCCAAGTGAGTGAATGAGTAAATTTGATTCAATTCCTGGAAAAGACGTTTCACTTTGTATTCTTTAGAAGTAAGCGGGGAAATATGATGAGTGATTATGCAATCTAGGGACCACAATGCCTGATAGACGCCATGCACACAGCTAGCAGGCCATGTTGTTTAAGCTCACAGAAGAAGAAAAAATCTGACAATTACACACTGTTAGAAAGTCTGTGAAGTACACAATTGACCCCATGCACGACCTGGATATAACAAGCGGATATAACACCATCTGAAATTCTGCATTTAATTGATTACTCAGCAGCAAGTAAAGGTGACTCAACCAAAATCAACACTGTTTTACAGTCAACCCACACACTTCCCGTATCACTGCTAAATCTAAAATATGTAGACAGCTGGGCAGAATACCAATCACACAATGAAAGTATTAGTACCTGAGGTGACAGGAACTGATGAGGCACTTGCGCTCGTATCCCCGGGGACTGGTTTATGGGTGGGACACTTGGCTGGTGTCTTGACTGAGCCATCCCTCCTCCACTGCCAAAGATACTGTGACCACCCTGTAATTGAAGATGGAAAATTAAAACCATAGAGGACCCATAACAGTGGAGACTCGTACATGAAAAACATACAGATTAAGCAGAACATGACAGACTGGGCGAGGAAAATTTAGGGGGTATAATTGTATGATTATCTTTTCGAAAAAGGAAAACTACAATGTAAAGATGGCAGGACAGAAACAGGAGGAGCGGTTATCTTACTTGTCTAAAGGGGATAGTGTGGTTGAAGAGGGAATGGGGCTTGTAGACAGTGGGTGGTGAGTACAGAGAGCAAGGACCCTCCTCCCCAAGGCACCAATCCTGATTGGTCAAAGGCAAGGTCTGTCACAGTGACAGCCAATGGAAGACCAATTTGAGTGGTGGTGAAGGGGGGTGGGGGGTTAGACAGGGAGAAATGGGGCAGACCAGGAGGACACCACAAGAGGAAATTAGGAACAGAGAGAAAGGACAAAATGTTATCTAGACACAAGAAAGACATACGAGACAAAGACGGCTAAGGTGGCAGAGAGGCATTACCTTGTCATAGTAGGACCCAGCATCTCCAGGTGCTGCCTCTTTGGAAACAGGAGGACGATAAGCCATCCCCCCTCCTCCTCCTCCTCCTCTTCCTCCCTTTCTCATATCTCCATTGTAATCATTCATCCCCATGCCCCTTTTATCCATATCCATCTTCTTCTCCTGGAGGGAACCTGGAGCCAGGTCAATGTTTGGGCCAATGGGGTCATCGTTCTGTGCAAGAGAAAAGGACAACCATCATAACCGTGACTATCATTAACATCATCATCATCATCATCAAGTGTCTGGGTACAAAAAAAAATAAATAAAAAAAAGCATGCCCTCCCACAATAACGCTCTAGCCGGATGTAAAAAATTATTTTTACCAGTATCATGTTAGAGAATTGTCTGTTGATGGGGCTCATCCAAGAGTCTCCAACGCCAGCCTTCAGTGGACCCTGAGAGACATACACAAAGGTAGAAAAATTATAATTCACATAAATGCAATAATCGCACCATACAAAACCAGTGGAAAGCTTCATAGAACCAACGGAGTATCTTTAACTTTTACTTTGTTCATCTTAGTTCACTTTAGAGATATCCATGCCACAAATAGTGGCTAAGTAGCAGCTTTTCCATTATCAAGATTTTTTTCCCCCACCAGTAACCCACCTTGTTGCTGGGCTTCTTCCCAGCGTGGCTCTGTCCCCAGCCCCCGTTGCTTCCCTGTCCCCATGATGAGCTGCTTCCCTGGGAGCCGGCGCTGTTCCACATGCCACCTCCCTCCTCCTCATCCTCCCAGCTTGAGTGACGTGAAGCAGCCACAGATCCCTCTTTGTCTCCCCAGCCATCTTGCATAGACTTTGAACCTTCAGGAGAGAAGAACAGATCTGAAATTGAAATCTGTCTCTAGGTTTTCTATTAGTAGACTATTAAGCATGCCAATTGTCCAAAATGCAATTTTTCAGAATATGATATGGATATCTCACAGATATCAATTCAAACACATGCTTAAGTTTTTATTAGATTTTCTAACCAGATTTGATGGGGTTGGGAGAAGGGTTTCCCCAGCCCGATGTCTTCCCTCCAGCATCTTCAGGGTCTCCCCAGCCAGTAGGGGCGTCTGTAGGCTTTCCCCAAGCTGCTGTGCCATTGTCTACTGTAGGACTAGTTGGAGAAGCACCACCCCAACCTGACGGACCTGCGGACACACATGGACAATAAAGGTTGCACTTGAGAAACCCGGTAGAGACTCAGCAAGGACAACCATTTCCCTAAATACAAGCAGGGCTGTAGCGATACACCGAATACGCTAATTTCTCACGATACGATATAGTATCACGAATTCAGCTCACGATACGATATATATCACGATATTCAGCTCACGATACGATATTATATCACGATATTCAGCTCACGATACGATATATATCACGTATTCAGCTCACGATACGATATATATCACGATATCAGCTCACGATACGATACTTATATCACGATATTCAGCTCACGATACGATAATATATCACGATATTCCAGCTCACGATACGATATATATCACGATATTCGCTCGGACGATACGATATATATTCACGATATTCAGCTCACGATACGATATATTCACGATATTCAGCTCACGATACGATATATATATATCACGATATTCAGCTCACGATACGATATATATCACGATATTCAGCTCACGATTACGATATTATATCACGATATTCCAGCCAACGATACGATATATATTCCACGATATTCAGCTCACGATTACGATATTATATCTACGATATTTCAGCTACAGAACGATAATATATCACGATATTCAGCCAACGATATGATTTGGATCGATTTGATAACTACACATCATTTCTAGGAAGATTTTAAAGGAGACAGGTGTGATTTTGGTGTCATCTTGTTGGAGTGTTTCTCATTGATCTTGGATTGAATTTAATTGAACTGATAAATACTGAAAGCTTTCAATTTTTAATATATTTCCATGTCTTCTGACTTGGACAGAGAGTCTACCAGCTTGCAAATTGGCTTGGACAAAAATGAATCAAAGGAGGAGTTATTATTTTATAAAAATATACCTGTAATGCTTGCTCATTTTGTGCATTTAGTTTAATTGGTTTGTTTTATTTATGTTACGTATTTTTATTTTTTATTTTATTTTATTTTATGTTGCTTATTTTTTATCTCTTTAACCCTGTTAATTACTTTCCCACTTTGTATTGAGGGACTGGTGTGGAGGCGAGTGAATTGGTCCCTGGGGATGAGAATTAAGAAGCTTGAAGCGGTGTGAATTTAGAAGGAGGTGAAGCAAGTGGCCTGTTCTGAAACAGATTCGTAATTGAACAGCTTTTTTAGCATTGACACTGAAACATATAGAGGTAGCCAGTCTAGCCACCAGGTAAGTTTAAAACATAGATACCATGGCTTACTCCAAAACAGCCAATAATTCAAGTGCGACTTAAGATTACATACGTTTTAAACAATTTAACTTAAATATATGTATCTCTGTCTTTAGTCCTGGAGTCAGTTATATAGGGCATGAAGAAGAAGACGTCGAGTCGTGTGTAGGAGGGAGGTGATCTAACGGGGTAAACGTTGGGCTAGAAAATGCTAACGAAACACGACTAATCGGCTGGCTTGACCTCATTTCGGCATCTATCTTGCAAAGCGATATAACTGGGGGGGGGTGGGGGTAAAGGGCACGGGAGCAAAGAGCCGAGTGCCAGGCGGAACACGGGGGAATTGAATGGGACTTAATGTATCGATACTCGCGGCTGAAAAATCGATACTTTCTGGGGAAACAAAATATCGATATATATCGCAGGATCGATAAAATTGCTCAGCCCTAACACAAACGTGGGTCAAGTACAGGTTAACCTGTCACCATCTCTGCTACGCCCAACGGAGAAGTGCAAGTCACCACAAAGTCACAAGCTATGCAGATCAAGATAGCAATGTTTATTTTTTAAATAGCCATTAAAGCTACATTTTAATTTTATTATTTCTGAAAATTTGCACATTTAGAACATAATTTTGAGTAATATATTGACTTTAATTTGAATTCACATTTGAAGAAATAGTCTGTTTCCTGACTTTAAACGCACTTAGAATTATACATTTTCTAGTTGTAGCCAATAGCTTCCAATGGGGCAAAATTACATAGTGGCCATTTAGAAATAAAGTTGCAAAGACAGTCGCCAAGCTGACAACATTGAAGGAGGGTACACACTTAATGTTTTCCTTAACAAACGGAAATAAATTGGAAATAAATAGGAAATAATGAGAGACAAGGACATATTTAGCATATTTCATACTACTTATATTGCTGGGGACAGATACTGTCTGGCTGGGTATTTTTTCAGTATTGGTGGGAACCCACCCCTAAGTCCACCCCAAAGAATGTGTGGTTACACCCTAGGTACCAAACATCACTGTAATTCAGAGCATGTTTTGTATTAAATTGACTAATTCTATTGTTCTATTAAGGTCACAGTCATTTTGAATACTTACACACAACACTTGAGAAGATGTTTGTGTGCTCGATCTCTCCAGGTACGACCTGTAAGTCATCCAGAGTCTACAGTTGGATCAGCATGAGCAATGTTTGTAGGAGAGCCAGGAGCTGCACAGAAAAAAGGTTTGCATACGCACATCCATCCACCTGGAATGCATACTGTAATTTTTTAGTTTAATTAGATTTCAACCGTTAATTATGCATGAGTGGTGTCCAGCACTAAAACAACATTAAATAATGCCAATCTCTTTACCGCTGATTAATGATCCTGCAGAAAGCCTTTATTAGATCTTGCTCTTACCGAAAACAGTGGGAGTGTGGATATCTACAGCAGGTGGTCTTGGTTTACTTCACCACAAAAATTAATTAATAAAAAGAATTTTTTAAAGTAATTTTTCACTCTTATCAACATCTCAACTCTCCCAAAAATCATACATTTATCAGAGTGGTTGCACTCTTTTCTGCTGTGCAAACATTCGGGTGGATTTGCAATCTCTTGGTCTAACGTGGACACTTTGGCAGAACTTCCTCTCAGTTTGGCTGTAAAACTACTTAGGATTTTTAACATCCCCCTCCCTTTTTTTTCTTCCTGCCACGCTTGGTAAACGCCTTTCACAAACAAAAACCTGCAACCATCTCTGTCCTGAGGGCATGGTTTTGTTTGCACTGGCAGCTCTAACACAATTGCTCCTATCTCCCGATTATTCACGAGCTGAACAATGTGTTCCAGGGGAGATGACAACAGGCCTTTCTGGGGTTTCTCCCTCCAGCCTTTATCACTACAAAAGCTCCTAAATTTACACTGCAAAGTTCATGCTTTTTTTGATATGATTGTTGGAAGGGGTGAGCACAGGACACAACTGAACATACAGTTACAGGGTAAGACTGAATATGGTTCCTACAAGACACCTTCATGCATTAATTCATCGCAGTCTAGTAAGTCAAACTATTGAGGATGGGTGTGCATGAACCAGCATATAGCCCCAAATCATGCCAGCTAGCAGCTGTCACAGTGAAATGTGATTCCCTATGTCAAGCACAGCCTCCAAATCAAACTAGAACTGTGAATTCACTTCTTCCCTCCTGGAAAAAAAAAACCCAACACAAAAACAAACAAACAGAAAACACCACTTAAGCCCAGGGAATGTGGTGGATTAACCGCTGAGTGACAATACGAAGCATCAATACAGGGAACATCCCCTTATCACCTCCAGTAAACATAACAAGACTTCTTCCTTTGCTGGGCAGGTGTAGTGTCTCTCTTAATGTCTCGGCTTTGGGACAAACTCACTCGGTGCATTGTCAAGTGTGTGTGCGTCTGGGGCGCACGGATAGCTCACCTGGTAGAGCTGGCGTCCCGTGTTCAAAGGCCAAGCACTTGCTGTAGACAACCCCCAAATATCTTGCCTGCTCTTAATGCAGCTATTGTTAAAGGTAAAATACATTCGACATTTGAAACATAAATAAAGAAGCAAACAACTATTCTCTATGTAAAGATATAGTGGAGTCATGGTGTCACACTCCCTCTGCCTGTGTTGTATCGCAGCCTCTCTGTTTTTATCATCTATGTCGGTGNNTTATTTCCACCAAACCAGTGTTGGTGATTGTTGGAACAGTGGAAAGACTAACAAAGACTGTTTTTGTGAGTTTGAGTTTGTTTCTGGTTGACAGACTAAGATGCGGGTGCTCTAGTGTGACGTTTTGTATATATAACCTTTATCCTTGATATTAAATAGTAATAATAATTCAGTTCAATTCAATTCAGTTTTATTTGTATGCTAGCGCATTTGTATAGGGTAGAGGGGTAAAGAGATAAAGACAGAGACAAAGGTGCACAGCAACAACAGTAGCAGCAACTATACTAATAGAAATGATTGATGGTGATGATGATCATGAAGAAGCCACAACGATGAACAATAATAATAGTACTAATAGTAACTGTAATAATAATAATAATAATAATAATAATAAAATAACAATAATATCAGTAATCTTAGCAGTGGGAGTCAAGCAGTATAGTATAGTAATAATGCATCCATGTATTTCTTCTATGCCTTCTATGTGCAGTAAACGTCTAATTCCAAGAAAAATAAATGGAAAGACAGTCTTAGAAATATCTGTGTGTTTAGGTATTTACATTCAACCACATGCCTTCACAAGCCCTTTTCTGGTAAAAGAACGAATGCATCTACGCATGCACGTATATACACAGCCAACCCATCTCATCTTC